TGCGCTCTGGTGGGGACGCTGGCCCCGATTTCCAACTGCTGCCCTCTGAACCCCCGCTGGTCCCTTCCTCCTGGGGTGTCCCCCTAGGCCCCCCCTTTGCTCTGGCCACTGGCGCTCCTTTCTGTGAATCTTCCGATTCACTGGAAAGACTCGGAGATCTTGGGTCGTCGTCATCACTCATCCTTTCTTCGGACTCCTCCCCCTCGCTCTCTGTTTCCTCCCTTGCCCTCGCCTCTGCTCCTGAACCCCTGACATCCATCCCCCCCCTCGAAGCCCCCCTTTCCCCCCTCCCCTCCTTCCGGTGCGGGAGCTGGGTGCTGCCGAGTCATGGGGACGAATGCCGGATACAGTTCGCTTCCCTTGGCGGGCCTCCAACTGAAGACTTCCGATTCTTCCTCCCTGCGCTCGTCGACAGCGGTCACCTCCGCTTCCATCTCTGTGCCGCCGTGCTCGAAGCCCAGGTCCTCCCCGAACATGTCCACGTCCGTCTCCGCCTCAGTCGTTCCCGGGTCCGTCGCTCGACCTGGAACCTCCAGCCACTTCCTGCGCCACTGCTCCTCTGGTCTATCGTCCCACCAATACGAGGGCTCTGAGGCAGATCCCGAGGGCGACCCCTCCGGGGAACGCGTGTCCATTGTCGGTTCCTCGTCCGAGTCGAACCCGTGGAAAGTGCTGGCTGAAAGCGTCGGTGTGAAAAGCCAATCGTCGAAAAAGTCTGCTGGCATGGGCCTGTGTGGGAAAAGGGCATGAAACTCGTCCTTGAGCAGAGGTTCCTCCAAGGCGTAGCCTGGCACCCAGCTGTTGGCACTGGCCGGGAAGCCCTCCTTGGCGAGGAGGTATTCTACTCCCTCTTCTCCCCATCTAGAGTCCAAAATCTCTGTGACCTCGTTGATGGACTCCTCTTGTGTCACTCCCCCTTGTTCGGTTCCCTCTCGTAGCGGACTCGGAGCCGTTCCTGGTTCCTGAAACCTGTGAGGTGTCTTGTAGGGAGTGAGTACCGACCTGTGGAACACCGGATGCATTCTGGAACCCTCCGGAAGCATCAGCCTGAAAGCCACCGGGTTGACCTGTTCTTCGACTTGGTAGGGCCCTAGTTGTTTATGCCCTAGTTTCTTCTTCGCTAATGACCTGGCCGGCACTGCTTGGGCTGCCAACCAGACCCAGTCTCCCACCTGGATCTCTTCGCCGACTCTCCTGTGTTTGTCCGCTTGCACCTTGTATGCGTGTTTAGCCAGCTCCAGGTGCCTCCGAAGTTGATCATGGACCTCTTGCAACTCTGACGCGAACGCGTCTGCTGTCTGCGGCTCCCCCTCCCCCATTCTTTCCAGTCCCGGGAAGGTTCTGGGGTGCCTTCCGTTGTGGCGAAGAACGGCGTCACCCCTGTGGACACGTGCTTCGTGTTGTTGTAGGCGAACTCGGCGAGCGGCAGGTAGTCCACCCACGTCGCAGGCTGTTGATTTGCGTAGCATCTCAGGTACTGCGGCATGATGGCATTGACCCGCCTCCGCTGCCGTTGGTCCTGCGGGTTGACCTTGACGTTCAGGAAGCCCATCAGCTTCTGCCAGAAGTTCAAGATGAACTGCCGCCCCCTGTCAGACAGTATAGACCGCGGCAGACCGTGAACCTTGAAACACGTGATCTAATGAACAGTTTGGCGGTTTGTTCCGCCGTGGCCACCTTCGCACCACGGAATGAAATGTGCCATCTTGGAGAACAAGTCCACCACCACTAGCACTGCCGTCTTGCCCCTCGAGCTGGGCAGATCCCGTGACAAAGTCCAGGGCCACTCTCTCCCATGGTTCGAACGGGGTTTGCAGAGGTTCCAGCAGTCCCGCCGGCGGTCTGTGTACTGGTTTGGGCGGGAGGGGGTCCGTGGGCTGCAACATCTCTGGGGACTGCTTCACTGACACGTCTGGCTGGGCCCCAGTGCCTCTGTCTCCAGCCAGACTCCTTCGTTTCCCTGCTGTGGTTCTCCTTGCTGAGTCGCTGCAGTTACCATTGCTGAGGCTGCAGTGTGCTTGTGGAGCCTCTGGGGACACTCTTTCGCCATGTGCTGGGGATTGTCGCAGATGTAGCACTTCCGGTTCCCTCTAGGAGGCTTTGCTTTCACTGCTCCCGGTGCTAGGGCTCTGGTTGCTGACTGAGCCCTTGCACCTCCAACCTCCATAGGTTCCGCTCCTCTCCTGGCGGAGGCGTGGATTGCGCACGCGCTGCTTCTCTGGGAACGAAGGAGTAGCCTCTGGCTGGTTCGCGCCCTCCGCGCCCTTCATCCTTGCCCCAAGGACGTTCCCTCCAGACGGACCCCAACTGCGAGCGCCCTCTGAACGATCTCCTGCGTGCTCCGGGGTCTCTCCCCCCTTGCAATTTCGTCCTTAACCGGCCGCTCAAGCCTTCCCAAACAGGTCTCTGACTGGAGCCGAATCTCTGTTCCATTCCAGGGCACTGACCAATGCAAAAAGCGGGCATGATACTGCCGTACGCTGGCCTCCCCTGCTTAAGTCCATGCACCTCCTTCCGGGCAAGATCCACGTCTATGCTTGATAAGAAGCACCCATCCATTGCTTTAATGAAGGCATCCGCATTTTGGAGCGCCGGATCCTTATCTCTCCACAATTGCGCAGCCATGCTTTAGCATCTCCATGCAAATGGGACATGATAAACCCCACCTTCTCTTGCTCATCTCTAAAGTCCTTTTCCAGCAGTTGCAGTGCACACTTTACATCTGCTCTAAAGTTGGGGTACTGTTGCAAATTCCCATCGAAGTGAGAGACTAGACCGCCTGCTCGTCTCCCCAACCCAATCCCCTCCGGTCTGGGTGTCAGTTGCCCTTGCTTCGTAAGCATTTCCAATCTGACCTGGAGATCTCTGTAGGCGGCAGCTGCGTCCTCCTCCCTCTTCCTGGATGCAAGTACCTCGGCATTCAGTTGTGTCACTGCTTCTCTGAGATCCGCTATCTGTTGTTCGGCCGTCATTCTTGTCTGCCGTTCGTGAGCTCTCGAGTAGGCACCAGCCTTTCCTCTCCGCTAGGCTTTAGATGCCCACAGGAACGTGGGACGGAGCTTACTGTCAGAGCTGCTCCCCGATCCTAGCTCACAGAGGATCACGCTAGCCAGCGTTCGCTTTATAAAAGACTTTATTGATTTACAGTTTCCATTTCCAAGCTGCTGCGTGCAACTCTACGTCTTATGGCTAGACCGGCGAAGCTCTGTCTGAGTCTCCGCCCCTCGTACACCAACTTAATATCCTCGCCTTACTCCACCTTTTCCGCCTGACCGTCCTTCTCTGGGTCCCTCTGCCCCCCGTGGTCTCCTCCCTCCGGGACTCCTCTGACGCTGACCCCCCGGACCCTCCTGTCTCCTTGCGTCGGGCTTTAGGACCTGCTCCCTTTCCGGGCTGCTTACTGCGCCGCCTTCCTGTGCATTTGAACTTGGCGCGCGCGCCCAACCTTCCACTTTCCGCTTGACCGTTTCTTCGCTCCCCGATGGAGGTGTGGCCACTCCTGACTCATGCCCTCCTCCCTGCTGCGAGCTGCCAGGGCTCGATCCCTGACGTCCTTCCTCTCCACTGCGCTCTGGTGGGGACGCTGGCCCCGATTTCCAACTGCTGCCCTCTGAACCCCCGCTGGTCCCTTCCTCCTGGGGTGTCCCCCTAGGCCCCCCCTTTGCTCTGGCCACTGGCGCTCCTTTCTGTGAATCTTCCGATTCACTGGAAAGACTCGGAGATCTCGGGTCGTCGTCATCACTCATCCTTTCTTCGGACTCCTCCCCTCGCTCTCTGTTTCCTCCCTTGCCCTCGCCTCTGCTCCTGAACCCCTGACAGTGGTTTTTATGTTGATCTTTTCTGTGAACCGCCCTGAGACCTCTGGGTATAGGGCGGTATAAAAATAATAATAATAATAATAATAATAATAATAATAATAATAATAATAATAATAATACTTAGTGCATAGTTAAACTATGGAACTCCCTCCCACAGAAGGCAGTGATGGCCAAGAATCTAGAAGGCTTCGAAAGAGGATCAGGCAAGTTCATGGAGGTCAGAGGCAGAGAATGCTTAAGAATTCCAGTTGCTGGAAAGCACAGGAAGAAAGGGTATCCTTGTGCTCTGGTTGCAGGTTCCCCACAGGCATCTTGGCGCCCCTGTGAGAACAGGATGGTGGACTAGATGGGCCATTGGCCTGATCCAGCAGGCTCTTCTTGTGTTCTTAAATGCATGGTGTGGATGTGAGCGTATCTCAAGGCCTGGTGCCCAAGTGCCTTAGTTTGAACCCACTTGAGGAAAGAAGCAGGCATCTCCTGCCACCTTGTGGGAAAATCAGCCAGTATACATCTGTCTGATAAGCCCAGGGGTCAGCAACCTTTCTCAGCCGTGGGCTGGTCCACCATCCCTCAGACCATGGGGGGCCGGACTATATATTTTGGGGGAAGTAAGAAGTACGAATTCCTATGCCCCACAAATAACCCAGAGATGCATTTTAAATAAAAGGAAACATTCTACAGTGGTACCTCGGGTTACATACGCTTCAGGTTACAGACGCTTCAGGTTACAGACTCCACTATCCCAGAAATAGTGCCTCGGGTTAAGAACTTTGCTTCAGGATGAGAACAGAAATCGCACGGCGGCAGCAGCAGGAGGCCCCATTAGCTAAAGTGGTACCTCAGGTTAAGAACAGTTTCAGGTTTAAGAACGGACCTCCAGAACGAATTAAGTTCTTAAACCCGAGGTACCACTGTACTCATGTAAAAGCACCAGGCAGGCCCCACAAATAACCCAGAGATGCCTTTTAAATAAAAGGACACATTCTACTCATGTAAAAACACACTGATTCCTGGACCGTCCACGGGCTGGATTTAGAAGGCAATTGGGCTGCATCCAGCCCCCGGGCCTTAGGTTGCCTACCCCTGGCTTAGCCCCATCATGCCTCCACTACCAGCTGCACCCCTTCTGGCCCATGCTCTTCTAAAACTAAGGGCCAGTGACCCTGCCCCCCCCTCTCGTAGTCACACAGGTGGCTCGGTGCTTCCATGCGGGGTGACCTTGGGGGGCTCCCGGCGGGTGCAGCTGCGTGGGCAGAGGTGGCAGGCAGCGCAGACGGAATTGCAACCGGGCAGGTACCTGCAAGCGCCCATCCTCCAGATGGAACCAGCCTGGATTCCAGCAGCACCAGAACACAAAGGCAGCGCCTAGGATGGCAGCCAGCGAAGCAAAAAGAGGTTGCGTTTGTCTGCAGAAGGAGGAGAAGGAGCCTGGTGAGTTGCAGGAAAATGGAACAAATCGTCTTCCCCAGCAAACAATTTGCCCCAGCTGTGCTATTTTGATACTGTTGTTCATTTCAAAAACATAGACACTGCTTGGCTTGTGAGAAAAACTCGGAGCAGTTTACAAAAAGGTAGAACAAGAAATCAAAAAATTACAACAATAAAAACCTACAAAAATTTAAAATACTAAGAGATTCAAATTCACTTTAACTTTATAAGCATGTGGATAGGTTTAGCTATACAAAAATGTTTTATATATGATAAATAATGAATTGAAAGGATGTTTAAAATAATGTTTGCAAAAAACAAAAACAAACCAGAAGCTTTTCTTTCGGGAATTATAGTGGCAGAACTACCTAAGCTGTACAGAAACTTATTCATGTATGTGACTACAGCGGTAAAAAATGTTATCGCCCCCAAATGGAAAGAAGCAGAAGTCCCAGCAAAGGAAGAATGGACACAAAAACTTATGGAATATGCAAGAATGGCAAAACTTGCCGGAAGAATGAGAAATCAAGAATACAAACTTTTTAATAAAAGAATGGAAATAGTTTATTGAACATTTACAGATAAAGTTGTAAACAATAAGAACGTTGGCATGGTTATTATTAACCTGCACTTTATAACAGTATATATTTAAAGTAGATGAATAAATGGGCAAATTAAGTTAATTTGGATATGCAGAAGATATTAAAAATAAATCAAGGAACCTCAGAAAGAGGAGGAAATCAGTCAAGCTTTGAAATGTTAAAATGATTGTTAAAATTAGTGAAATGTAGACCTGAAAGCATAAATATTATTTTTTTAAAAATGTTTTTAGCAGATTTCCAGGGGAGACGAATTGGCAGTTTGGCTGTCTTCCTGTTAGCTCCTGCTGACTTGGTGATTGATAACAGATAGTCTGACTATCACTCTGGAGATAAGGGTGATTCTGGGAGTTACCCTTCAAATGCTTTGAATTGAGGCTTTTTTTTTCTTCTGTATGCACCTGGAGACTTGGGTGGGGGTTAGAGTGACGTGGCGAGCTGAAGAGTTGCCATTGTGCCAAACAACATAGAATCGCCTTTTGTAGGTAAGAAAAAACTGTGGTTTTAGCTGAAAAGAGTACAGTGATAGCCGCCTGCTTGGTATCAACAGGCAGGGAGTTCCCAAATGGCACACTATAAACAACCAAGTTCTTACAAGGCCTCATTCCTGCCAGCAATGGTACTGCTGTACCTGTTTTGTCCCAGGTGGCAGTGCCTGGGGGCAGGAGCTGGCTTTCCTGGGGTCCTGCGCAGGTCACCTGACTTGGCAGGGCGTTAACTGCAGAAGAGGCCTCGGCATTATTCAAGGGCGGCAGGAGCGTGGGTGAGCCTGGAGTTGAAAAGGAGAAAGAGTCAAAAACAGTAGTGGCCTCTGTGCTGCCACGGAGAAACCAAAGCAGAGGGGCGTACCCTCCTCCCTTTCCTAACAACTTAAGGGGCCGCTGCAGCCATCAGGCTCAGGCATTCAGCCTCACTTTCTCACCCATTTTTTAAAGTGATCATGAGCAAGGAATGGCACTGTTATAAGAATTTTAAGGTCATAAATATATAAAATAAATGTTCATAACTGTATATAAACCACATGTCTGAAACCCCATAGAAAAAGTCCTGAACAAATTGGCCTCAAATATTTCTCTGCAAGGTCAAAATGGAAACTCTCCCCATTGTCTCTTTGCTCACGAATCCTGTCTTAAGGGCACTTTTAAGATATGAATAGGGTGTGAGCCCAGTAGTTATCATAACAAAAGAATGTCCAGGATCCCCAGGTAATCCAGTCAAGTGACCATTAACAGGTAACCTGGCAGACATGATAAAAACAATGCACTCAGATTTCTGTTGTAGACCGCCTTTTCTGTGATGTAGGTATGATGTTTCTGGGGGTGGTCTTGGACTCCAGGGCGGGCAATTTAAAATGTCTATATAAGGGCTTGCGCACATGGTTTGGGGTCTTCCTCCTCTCTCCTGCGTGTGGGGGAGCACCCTGTTGCAACAGTTAATAAAGATCAGGCTTACTAGCTGCTTTGCTTCTCAATATTCTCTGGTTGGCCTCTATTATTTTCTCCTACCAATAGAGAACCTGCAAAGGGACTCTATATGGGCTCTTGGGTACCCCATAAGGGAAAAGGAGCAGTTTGGTTTTTTTTTTTACTTATAACAGCACATACACACACCCTCTTCCTTCTACAGCCACCAACCTTTGCACCAGGCTGGGGACTGGGCAGCCTGGTCTGTACCATCCCCACAGTTATCGACACTGCTGCCATCGCAGACTAGGCTGGGAGGGATGCATTTTCCATTGTGGCAGGGAAAATACGACTCCATGCTGCAGGCCGAAGCGTTCAAGCCTGCAAGGGGAGGGAAAGGCAGATTTTGCTGTTCTTGTTGTTTAATGTACCTATACAGTGGTACCTCGGGTTAGGAACTTAATTCGTTCTGGAGGTCTGTTCTTAACCTGAAACTGTTCTTAACCTGAAGCACCACTTTAGCTAATGGGGCCTCCTGCTGCTGCTGCGCCACCGGTGCACGATTTCTGTTCTCATCCTGAAGCAAAGTTCTTAACCCGAGGTACTATTTCTGGGTTAGCAGAGTCTGTAACCTGAAGCGTATGTAACCTGAAGCGTATGTAACCCAAGGTACCACTGTAATCAGTGCTTTTTTATAGAAAAAAAGGGGCCAGTACTCACCACGAAGTTGTTACAGTGAGGTGCTGGTACCGCGTACCTTTGAGTATCCCTAGATAAAAAGCACTGCCTAGAATGTACCTCCCAAACTAGCTTAAAACAATAGTTAAAATGCATTTAACACCAGCATTGAAATTTTAAAAAGGTACAGGTAAAGGACCCCTGGATGGTTAAGTCCAGTCAAAGGTGACTATGGGGTTGTGGCACTCTTCTCGCTTTCAGGCTGAGGGAGCCAGCGTTTGTCTACAGACAGCTTTCTGGGTCATGTGGCCAGCAGGACTAAACCACTTTTGGCACAACAGAACACCATGACGGGAACCAGGGTGCACAGAAACGCTGTTTGCCTTCCTGCCACAGTGGTACCTATTTATCTACTTGCACTGGCGTGCTTTCGAACTGCTAGGTTGGCAGGAGCTGGGACAGAGCAATGGGAGCTCACTCCGTCGCTGGGATTTGAACTGCTGACCTTCTGACCGGCAAGCCCAAGAAGCTCAGTGGTTTAGACCACAGCGCCCGTTACCCTGACAGCAGCCCAGTGGTCCACATCACCTGCACCTTACCCTTAGGGTTACAAGTGTTGGACTAGGACCCAGGAGAGACCAGAGTCAAATCCCCCCACTGGGCAACATGAAACTCCCTGGGTGACCTTGGAGCCCAGTTGCTCACCTACCTTCTAGGATTGGGAGGATTAAATGAGGAGGCACACACCACCTTGAGCTCCTTGGAGAAGCAGTGGAATATAAATACAATAAAATTAAATTAAAATAAGATAGAGCGGCATTGCTCAGCTCATTGCAGCGGCTTCCTGCCTTACCAGTTCGAACGGAGGTGAAGTCACCGACAAAGTCGACACGAGGTTGCTGGCCGCGAGTCACGAGCCTCAAGGTGAGGAAGTTGCCTGTGGAGGTGACGGGCCGTGGGATGTTCTTCCCGCACAGCGGCATCCCCAGGGGCTTCGCTGTGTGGTTTTGGCCATCGTAGAATTGCACGTAGGAGCCTGCTGTGCAAGGGTCAGGGGTCTCCCGCTCGCTTCTGGACTTGGGAAGTGCCAGAGTGGGGTGGTCGTTGCTGGCCAGCGTGCTGGAAGCGAGCGCACCATGCTGTACACCAGGAAGAAAGCGGAACTGGAACTGGACCTTGTCTTTGGGGGTTGCCGCTTGCATGGTCAGCTGGCAGTCTGTGCTGGCCACTACAAAGTAGTAACGGCGGGAGTCTCGGTGGGATGTCAACACCATCCCATCCCCGTGCAGGGTCTGGCCGCAGAAATCGACCACGCTCACTGTTGGGCAAGAGGGAGAGGAAAAGGGAGAGTCATTGGCAAGGCACAAGGACATACATAGAAGAACCACCTTCTGGATCGGGCCAGAGCCATCCATTATATTATTATTATTATTATTATTATTATTATTATTATTATTGCTTTTCAGATTTATACATTTCACTAATTTTACAATCATTTTAACATTTCAAAACTTGACTTCCTTTCCCCTCTTCATTCTGCTGTTTCCTTAAATTTATTTTTAATACCTTCTGCATATCCAAATTAACTTACTTTGCCCATTTACTCATCTACTTTAAATATATACAGTGGTACCTCGGGTTAAGAACTTAATTCATTCTGGAGGTCCGTTCTTAACCTGAAACTGTTCTTAACCTGAGGTACCACTTTAGCTAATGGGGCCTCCTGCTGCCACCGCACGGTTTCTGTTCTCATCCTGAAGCAAAGTTCCTAACCTGAGGTACTATTTCTGGTTAGCGGAGTCTGTAACCTGAA